AGTAAGAAAGCCTGCAAAAGAGTTTCTGTAACGGAGAGCTCCACTAACTTTTACACTTCCTAGATATTTCTCCAGCTTTAGGAACATTTTATGTCAAATATCCCTTCAGGGACTACTTAAAGTTTACATTTGCTCTAGGCTAAAAACAATATATTTGACGAAAAACAGTAATATGACTTTCACCTTTAAAAATATTCACTTCTAGTTGTCACCTAAATGTAGGTAATTTTAAAGGTCTACAAGGCTTTTGAAAAATAGCACTGGTTGCCAGAGGGTATGGGGAAGGGTAAATGGGAGTTACTGCTAATAGGTACAGAGTGTCAGTTTGTGAAGATGAAAAATATTCCTACCCCTTGCCACCCTCTAGTTCTCATCCCAAAAGACAACCACTCTAATCCACAGCTCTTTTCTCTGATATTTTACCTCAACATTTTGAAATAATATACCGATATTGCTTGATTTCTTAATTTTAAGGATACCTATTGACTGCCTGACAAGGTAGATGAGGACTTAGCTCTTCCCATTTTCACACTCTTTACTCTTCCCCTCCTTTTCCAACACACAGCATAGTTACAGCATAATTTTAGGTTAAATCAGAAGCCATTTTTTTACAGTATTACAAAATGCAAATGTTGTTATCTGCCTTACCAAATGGTACATTTTATACAATCCTTTATTTCCATGGAGTCAGTGATTGCCTCATTTTAGTCAGTTGCATAGTATTCTATGTACTTTTGTTAATTTTTCTGAAATATTCCAGCATCTCAGTCTTTTGTTAATAGATTCCAAGATTCCATTTCCATTTTTTCCTTAGAGACCTCCCACTCTGTCCTACTCCACTTTGGGCCAGTTTGTTTTCAGGCCTGCCACAGAGCTGTCTTTTGTTTTTTTAATTGTGGTGAAATATGCATCATATGTATCATCTTAACCATTTTTATGTGTACATTGAGTCCATACAGCACATGCAGTAGTGTTAAGTACATTCATATTGTTGTGCAACCATCACCACCATTGATCTCCAGAATTCTCTTTATTTTGCAAAACTGAAACTCTGTACTCATTAAACAATAATTTCCAATATTCACCTTACCCCAGTCCCTGGCAACCACCATTCTCCTTTCTGTCTCTGTGAACTTGACTGCTCTATGTACTTCATGTAAGTGGAATCATACAGTTTTTATACTTTTGTGACTGGCTTATTTCACTTAGCATCATGGTCTTAAGGTTCATCCATGTTGTAGCACGTCGCAGATTCCTTCTCTTTTTGTATAGCTGTCTTTTGTGCCTTCCTGCACTGCTTTTCTTGTTAGATCCACTTGGATAACTTTTGTTCTTCTTTCTTGCTTTGCTCGTCCATTTTGTGGAAGCATAACTTCTAGCTTCAATAAAGAGATATGGAAAGTATATATTTTTTAGCCTTTGTATTTCTGAAAATATCTTTATTTCTCTCCTCAGTTGATAATTTGGCTGAATATAGAATTCTGGGTTGAAAATAATTTTCCCGGAGAATGTTAAAGGCATTGTTCTACTGTCTCCTAGCATTCAGAATTGCAGTTACGAAGTCTAGTGCCATTGTGATTCTTTTTTGTATGTAGGAGACCTTTTGTTCCTCTATGAAAGCTTTCAAAGATGTATGTTCATGTGGGTCTTTTTTATTGTGCTCAACTCCTGGATTTCTCTCTATCCATTTGTAGACTCATGTTTTGCAGTTCTGGGAAATACTCTTGTTTTTTTTTTTTTTTTTGATAATTTCCTCCCTATCTTTCTTTATGGAACTTGAATTAGTTATAAATTATATCTTGATTGATCCTCTTGTTTTCTTATATTTTTGTTTTTTATTTTACTCTCCTGGGGGGGTTTTCTTGGCAGTACAGTCATGAGTTGCACTACAATGTTACAATGGCTATGATGTCACTAGGTGACAGGAAATTTTCAGCTGCATTATAATCTTATAGGACACCACTGTATATGCAGTCTGTTGTTGACCAGAATGTCATTGTGTGGTGCATGACTACACTTTATTGTCCAAAACTTTCTATTAAAAGTTTTAGTTCATACATCCTTGATTTATTTTCCAAGAGCTCTTTCTTATATTCTTTTTTTATAGCATATTATTCTTTCTTTATGGATGCTTTATTGTTTCAGGTCTCTCATATTAGTTATAGTTTGAAGCTTTCTTCTGTTCCCTTCATTGTTTCTATTTACCTGGTCTCTTTTCTCTGTTTTGTTTCATATCCTTACTGATAGGTTGTATAACCATGGTAGTTTCAAAAGAATTTTAGTCCTATGTAATTTATTCTTATTTTAGGTTTTAGTAAAAGTTATTTGGAATAAGTGAGCATTCATACTTCAAGTAGGAGCATTTAGGAAAAAAATATGACGTACTAACTGACTTGTTCCATGTGTTACAACCACCACTGCCTTACGTCTGTGGCTATCTTAACTTTTCAAGAACCATCTCATTATCTAACAGTTACATGCAAACATACAAAACGTCTCTGCTGTCATTTGGTTTCTTTAGATTCTCTAAATTGTCAGTGAACAGTTTTTAATCAGCTTTGAGGCTCTAGTGTGTTAATTTTGAATTGCTTGGACTGTGAAATCTGACTATCTTAAGCCAGCATAAACTCTCACTGCAGTTTGTGTTTTTCTGTTGGAACTGTACCTCACATACCTTGGAGTATGTAACCTTTTAAAATTGAGTTTAATTTCACTTATTATAAAAGGTAATTTATTTTCAACTAGGGTCTCACACACACACACAAAAGAAAAAAGGTAATAACGTTGATAAATGTATCATGGTCAAGGCTTTGCAGACCATAAAATTTTAGCCATTTGCCATAACTTTAGCGGGGCTGGGGCAGGGTGGGGTAGGGGGAAGCAGAGGACCGCTACTAAGTATCTGTTACAGCCAGAAGTTGGGGGTCATTAGGGGCATTATTTGTCAATCATAAAACAGACCTCTACCTCTTCTGCTTTGTGGGGGCAACTTGGGGGATACCCCAGGAAGAATGACTGCCTTGATCTTCTAACTCAAGATGCCTGCTCCTCGCCTTTTTCTCAGTCAGCTCATGGACAGGAAGAACTGAGTAACAACTAAACTTCCTGGTGGGACTTGCTGAATGTTCAGCCTCTGAATTTCAGTCCCTTCCTCCAGAGGTCCTTCAGATCTTTCCTCACAGATGTTCCTCCACAGATCTTCCAGATTTATCTTCAAAGTCCCCAAATGTGAGCTTTCTACAACACAGCTTTTGATCAAGGCCTAGAAGAGTTGTCAGTTCTTAATTCTACCTCTCCTTGTACCTCACGCTGTACTTTATTGAGGACTTTGCTTCCCTCCCCAAGAAACCCCCGGTTCCCATTAATCCTTTTCTGCAAACAAGTACTTATCTGTCACTCCATGAATTAATATCAAACGTGTTTTGGGACAGGATTTGTCTTAGGAGTTTTACAGAACTTTGCCCTGAAAAAATATGTGAACGTGTTGGTTTGCATTTCGAATGCTGTTACACTTGGAAGGGCATCTCTGAAAGGCAGTAGCGGCTGTATCCCACGAGGCACCGCGTTTCTCAGACCTAAAGAATTGGATTTGCTTAGTAAAACACAAGTGAATCTGTTAAAAACTATAGGCTGAGAGCTGACAATGGAGTGCCCTCCGGAACAGACAGCTTCCCGGAAACGACACCTTCCCGAATGGCTAAAAGCAAAGCTTTTGTTTAAACCACTCTAGACTACCTGTCTCCATTCACAATAACCTAATAAACATGGAGCTTACATATCTCTGTTTAAACCCTCTGTTTAAATGATAAACTTACCTTAGAATTTAGAAATTAACCTTTGAAAGACTTTGTAACCGTTTGCTCACAATAGAATTAGTTAAAGAATCTGTAGAAGCCTTCTGTAAAAGCCTTTTGAAAATCTGTTAACCTGAGAGGAACTACCTGCTGTTATGTAAATCTGTTACCCCTGACAATTGTTCACTATTTCCTATTATTGTTCACTAGTGACAATTGTTCACTATTTCCAAGTTACCATGTAAGACCTCATTCGGGGCTTTTGAGACCAACGGAGAGGTCTAAGCCCCCTGAGCTCCCGCTTTGCCTATAACCTTTATAAACTTATAAAACTATATCTTTGTCTCAGTGTATTCTTTTATTTCTTCCATTTTCCATTTCTCTCTATTATTTTCTTATCCCTTGCAACTCTACCAAAGGGACCCGGTTTTTTGCAGGGAACACTGGCCACGTTCCCAGCACTTATCCTTAAGGATAACATCTGTCAGCCTTAAGACAGATGAGGGTCTTACATCTGTCATGGCCTCCATGCCCTGCCTGGCAGCTAAGCAGGACTGACTCTGTGCTCTATTGCTCGCGATTTGATTCAGTTTTCCAGCTCCCTTCACTTAGTCCAGGCTGAATATGTGCTCCTTCCCGCAGAGAGGAAGGCTTTATAGCCTTGATAAAGACTTGACCTACTGGACAGTAGATAGGAGTTGGACGGATATTCAGGGTACCAGCAGACCCCCTTATTTTAGGCCCTGTACAGACCAGGGCTTTTTAGTGCAAAAGTTAACTTTTGCGTCCAGTGACCGAGTAGGCTAATTAGGCAGTATGCCATGCCATTTACTTTGTGTGACTTGCACATAATACGGTAATTTCTAATCCCTCACTGCTCTGTGTAAAGTGGAGACACCAGTACAAAATCACACCCAGCCTCATAGGACTGACTAGTCAGGTTCACTCAACCCCAGGCACACATCCACAGGTCACTGACAACTACAGACCGACTCTGCCGCACACGGTGCCCAGGTGCTAACTGCCCCATACAGCCCGGCCCCTGGCACCCTCAGTCACTCACACATACAGCTAGTTGCTCCCTTCTTCCGTATCCCGGGACTCCAACACCCGCAGCCGGCGGTGCCCCAGGTTTCCTGGTCCCCGGCGGACGGTGGCCGAGGGGCGGCGCGGGTTTCCAGCCGGCGGGGTTAGGCTGCCGCACGCCGGAAGTGGCGGCTGAGCGGGAGCGCTGAGGTGGCGGCCGGCGGGGCAGCGGCCGGGAGCGGGGGGCGGGGGCGTTGGTCATGTTTCCCTTCGGGCCCTGTAGCCCTGGAGGGGACGGGGCAGCCGGAGCCGGGGTTGAGGAGCTGACGCCCCATGGGGAGCAGGCGGCAGCCGCCAGGCCGCTCTCTCTCCCTCCCCCGCCGGCGCCGCCACAGCCCGAGGCTGACGCAGCCCCTCCCCCGCCACCCGCCCGGAGCCCTCGTCGCCCCGGCGCCCCCTCGCTGTCCCCGGCCGCGCGTGCAGCAGAGCTCAAGCCGCCCAGATCCCCGGAGTCCTCGGCTGCCTCCGCCCAGAAAGAGCCGTCATCGCCCTCCCCGCCGCGCCAGCGGCCCGGGCCAGACTGCAGGGCCGGGAGCCGAGGCCGGCATGGCCTCAGCGCGGGCCTGGGCGGCCCTGGCGCCAGGCTGTTTGGATGGCTGAGAGAGCGCAGCCTGGGCCGCGGGCTGTTCGTGGACCCGGCGCGGGACAATTTCCGCACCATGACTAACCTCTACGGTTCCATCCACCCCGCGGACTCGGTGTACCTCAGCACCCGCACCCACGGTGCGGTCTTCAACCTCGAGTACTCGCCCGACGGGTAAGCGCGGCCCCTCGGAGGGCGGGTACCAGCCTCCGCCCGGCTCTGCTGCCCGTGGACGGCCGCCCAGGGCTCGCTGACTCGGCTCGGGTCGAGATTTGCGAGTCAGTCTGGGGCTGCTGGCTTTCATGCCCCCTGGGCACTTTCTGAAGCGCCTTTTCGCTGCTGGAGCCCCCTTCCCAGCCTTTTGAGGTAGGCAAGCCAGACCTCATTTGCTCACCTTCAGGACTCTGTGAAGGATAAATGCCTAAAGCCACACAGCAGGTCTTTCAGAGCCAGCCCAGAAATAGGGCTTTCTGGTACATAGTAGGTGCTCAGTAAATACATTTTTAATAAATGCCTATTTTTTTCCGTGTCACCCTAGGCGTGCGTTTTTCTCATCTAAACTTGTGTTAAGACTACTACATGCTTCTGTTAAGAGTATCCAGCTTTTTTCTCGGCTGCTTAAATATTTCATTTTTAGCCTTGGGTTACTTTGAGCTATGGGAAATTTTCGAAATAATATATATATTTAAAACTTTGCCTTGTGAGTACACGTTTAACAGCAATCAGAAGAAAAATTGGCACACAGTTCTACCATGAGATGACATTGTTAATATAATCTTACCCCATCAAGGCTTCTGGGTTGGTAGTTACTTACTTGGTTGTTCATTCATTCATTCCCTCATTCAGCAAATATTTGTCGAGCACTTGCTGTTTTCCAACCGCAGGAGTAACAGTGCTGAGCAAAACCAGCTAATGGCACTGTTTTCATTGAGCTTGGGGCTTACTGCTTCAACTAGATGTTAGATAACCATACTAAATAATGCACAATGTCTATTTACAAATTGAGATAAAGTCTTGAAGGAACCTGTTGTGGACGGGGGAGTGCAAGGTTTCTCTGAGGAAGTGACACTTGAACCAAGATCAAAAAAGTGAGTAGGAGGTAAATTAGCCAAAATAGGGTTGGGGATGGGATAGAATTATTTAACATGGAGACTGGTATATCAAAGGACTTATGTCCTACCTGTGGTAGGAGAAGGGCAGCATGCCATGTTAGAGAAACTGAAAAACAATAGGTTTACAAAGCAAAAGGTTCTACTGAAGAAAGACCTAAAATGTGCTAGGGAAAGGAACAAAGAACAGAATGAGAAATTACTGTGAGAAGGTAGACCTTATTCCAGTTCACTGATGCAAATACTTTTTCCTGATCACAAGTGCTGGGATCTCTGGGGTTTCTCTTTACAGCGATTGGGTGAAGCTTGTAGCAGTGGATGCACTCCTGAGTAAGGGGTAAAATTGGTGAGAGGAGAGACTATTTGCGGAAGCTTAAATACAATGGAACCTCCTCTCATCCTTCCTCCAACCAAACCCTATTCCTAAAGTTCCCTCAAAACACCAAGAGTCTGTTCCTCATAAACATTCAGTTTCTCTCTTCTCCATATCCTGGCTTCTCTCCTCCCAGCCTCCTACCTATACTTTCAAGAATTCAAACATATCTATTTCTTCTCTTTGGATGTGGGATTTTAGGTAGAGAGTGGGAGGGGTAGAATGAGTTATGAAGAAGGAATTACAGGGCTTTTAGAAGGAGGGTTATATTATTAATACTTACAGTTCTTGTTTGAATCTAGACTGTATTTTCCCAGAAAAACATTTTCATAAAAGGTGGCTAGGCATTCTGGTACTTAAACCAATTCAATAATTTTTAATTACACAATTAATATATGCTCATTGTGGAAAACCCAGGCAATAAATAAGCAAAAAGAAGCCAAACATCACTTATGATCCCAGAGACTGAATAGATATCCAAGGAAATTTTTCTTCATGTATGTTTATTTTAGTGTAAACATGGAATCATACTGTTTTGTAGCCTGCTTTTCTTATGGTATATTATGAACTACTTATGTTAATAAATATATTTCTGCATTATTTTAAATTTTTCATTAGTTTAAATAAAACCTCTATGTACTAATATTTTATACTTATATCCTTAGGATAAATCCCTAGAATGATTTCAAAAGTTATGAAAATTTATGATACCTATTGTTAAATTACCCTCTGTGAAGATCATACCAGTTCTCATTCCTGTATTCGAGTCACATATGAAAGTGCCTTTCTCCCCATACCCTTGGCAACATTGCATATTGCCATTATTTTTCATGTCTGTCAGGGTGATGAGTGAAAATAGTTCAATGTTTTAATTTTTCAGTATTCTTCAGCTATTATGCCCAACATTTATGTTGGACTTAAAGTAATTTTACAGATAGTTGCGGTATCTGTGTTAAATGAAATAGTTTTTTATATCCTTCAGATGTATAAGTTAAATCAGCTTATCAGGTAGCATAGCCATTGTCACTTATAAGAACTTCTCAATACAGAGGAGGAGTGACATGGAATATAAGGATTGAAATTATGAATTTAATAGGAACCAAACTAGAAGTAATTTGTCACTAAAAAAGAAATGAAAGGATATATGGACTACAAGGTAATTTCTAAAGAATTCTAAAAATGTTTGAAGTGTTAACAACATTATCAAAATAATTGTATACCTCCAACGATGATATTTTGAAAAAGTAAATTTGATAATGTTAATAAATTAGATAATAGTATGTCAGACCTTCTCAAGCCATCCTCTCTGAGAACACATTAGGTACAGCTATAGAGAAAATTAGTATATTAGAAAATAGAAGTGAAGAAATTGTCCAGAATGCAGACCTGAGAAACACAGAGACTGAAAATATGAAGGAGGTTTAGTGACATGGAGCATAGAGAGAAAAAGCATACCAGATATTTAGTCAGACTTCCTGAAGAAAATGAGATATAATGGGGGCGGGAAGACTATTTGAAGACATGGTAGCTAAGAAATTTACAGAATTGAAAAAAGGCACCAAGCCATGATTTAAGATGCCCAACAAACCCAAGCAGGAATCTTCCCTAGACATAGTGAAATTGGGGGACAATAATATAAGATCTTAAAAGAGAGAGAAAAAAAGAACTCAAAGGAGTAATTAGGAGAGTGATAGCCAATTAGTCATCAATTACAGTGTAAGTAAAGCCAGAGACAGTAGTCATTATTTTCAATTTGCTGGGAAAAACCTCAAACTAGATTTATACCCGACAAAGATGGGTTCTCTGTTCTTGTCAAGAACAAAGATGAAATGAATACATATTCAGACAAGCAAGGCTGAGTGAGTTTGCCAGCAGACTTTATATTTTTTGGAGACAGAGTATGGCTCTGTTGCCCTAGTAGAGTGCAGTGGTGTCATTATAGCTCACTACAACCTCAAACTCCTGGGCTCAAGCGGTCCTCCTGGAACTACAGGCATGAGCCATGAATGGCTGGCTAATTTTTCTATTTTTAGTAGATACCAGGTCTTGCTTTTTTTCAGGCTGGTCTCAAACTCCTGACCTCAAGCAGTCCTCCTGCCTTGGCCTCCCAGAGTGCTAGGATTACAGGTATAAAGTCACCACGACCAGCCTACCAGCTGACTTTAAATAAAGGAATTCTAAATTCAGAGAGAAGGAAATTATTTTCAAATGGAAGGTCTGAGATGCTAGAAAGAATGAAGAAAAAGAAAGTGGTAAATACATATGTAGTGGGCCGGGCGCGGTGGCTCATGCCTGTAATCCTAGCTATCTGGGAGGCCGAGGCAGGCGGATTGTTTGAGCTT